ACTTTATATTATGAAACGCTGTGAGCCAGTGAATACCTGTCATTTATGTGGGATGCATAATTAATTTCATCAAGTGAAGTTTTCGGGTATAATTTAAAATTGATGCACGCGACTTTGCCTAAATTATTATAATATATAAATTATTTATAACAAAGGACGCGATGTACTTGGGATTTTTACTATTATATCCAATTATTAAAATTAGTTAAGTGGTTAAAGAATGATCGGAAAATAAAATTATTTTTATTTTAACGCACTATTCAGTATTCTAATGACTTGATCACAAAGTTTGTTGTTAGTAGATAAGAGGCGATCAGAATATAGGTTCCTTTAAGGTATGTTTATAATACTTTTTAAAGTATGTTTTAAAATAGTTGCGGCCACACTATGATTGCACAAATGCCTTATATTCTTTCTTAGTTTTCAAGGCGTATAAGGAACCGGACAGAGAGAAAAACAGTACAAAGAAATTTCGTACAAAAGTTCTTACGAACATCCGTCTTACGAACGTGTCCTGACGCAAATTTAACATTTTTTACCCATTCAAAAAAAAGTGTACAACGCCGCTAAAGATGTTTTCACTTAAAAAAACATGCTGTTCGGCTCTTGGTGGATTTATGTTGTGAATGTGCCTTTCCCAATGAGGGATTAGATGACTTCGCTTTCTGGGTTGCTTTGGCTATTTGAATTTCATCTAAGCCGAAACCTGTCCACCTTTTAGTCATTATTGACGATCGAATTTAAATATGAATAATTGGTAATAAAACACCTTCATACATTTAGATCATTTAATGAATTTTATTTACAGTGTTGTCGAACAATTTACAACCAACAAAAATAAAATTATGAATTATTTACAATATTTTTATTCTATAATTCAACGGGAGTCAAGAAATCTTGCAAATAAATAACACACTACGTATATTTTAATAACAATCGATCCTAATTCATAAATAAAATTCTATTTTAATAAACATATGAATTTCTAAGATTTCATATGACGTATCAATAAAATTTGAAGTTTTAACATATTCAATGCAGTCAAATCTTGGACAAGAATCAATAAATACAACCGTTTAAACTTTTCATTTAGTAAATATATTTTAATTACCTATTAATTGTTTGGCTTTTACTGCTATGAAATAAATATTTGACCCAAAGAACACCTACGTAACAACGACAAATACGTTTGCAGACATTTTTAATTAACTTTATTTTTTTTCTATAACAACATTTGTTGCGTTTTTGCTGTGCGTTCTCCATACAAATACACATTATTAACGATAAAATGTAATTAAAAAATTTGATTATATCATTAACTTGATGTACCTGCTCCAAAACCGCTGCTTTGTATTAGAAGTCAATTGAAACAATGTTTCTTTGGCTGTAGAATATAACAACGTAATATTAATAAAGAACTTAACATTTTTATATTACAATTGAGTATGACCCAGTCATCAACTCTTTTATTTAACAATACCTACTCGTTTTATGTCATTTAAACTAATTTTTGTTTCTAATTGGGCCTTAAATTTTTACAATTAGTTAACTGTGCATGAGTTGCATCGTTTTTCGATATATATTATTCTACAATTAGTCATTATTTAATGGGCGTTAATACGGCTGATCATTGAAATTATATAACTTGCTATCAGCGTGCCGATTTTAACAACTTAAATTATGATCAAACAAATGTGATTAACTCACGTTTAAAGCTACATTTTATTTTTATATTAATTAATCTAAAGGTTAAATTAATTCAAACTTGATACAGGTATTACAGCTAATTCTCAATACTAATCATGTAACTAGTAATTGGCAGTGCTTTTAACAGTTTCATTTACCTAATTAGTTTTATCCGTGGGACACTTAATCTATTTATTAAAAGGAATTCAATATTCTTATTAATATTAGTTTCGTTATTCCTTTGGCATCTGATATCACTGAACCATAAATGTTTCTGAAAGGTACATATAATCAACATATGATATGTTGTAAAATAAAGTCGATTAAAATGATTTCGTAATTAACAAAATTTTTCTTATCTATTTATTTCCTGGCATTATATACTTTGACTATATAAGTAATAGCGTGTTAAACATAAATGAACAGTCGTTATTTTTTTAACCAATACGAACGCCACGGGCCATGCGTCATAATTATCTACCCTACTAATTAGTTACTCGTGCATACAATGACTGCATGTTATACACAAACTACGCTAAAATAACTTAGTGTTGTCTCTGTCATATTTCCGGTTTAGTTTAGTATGTGTACTCACAAATGCGTGTATTTACTAGGCGAGAAATGCCCGCAATTGCTGGGCCAAAATTATAATATGTTCTTGTAAACTTGTTTGTAAATTGCAAAATAACGCAATAGTTTATTTACATTGCTGACAATGTTGGATATTTGTGCGTATCTCTGGCTTACCGTTAATCAATGGATTCTATAGATATAGAAATAACCGGTAATCTAATTAATGATTTTAAATGCTTACCCAAACTAGTTTCTTTATCCACGCTGTGAAAATCGTTGTTAAATCTTGCTTGTATTTGCGATGACATTTATCCACTAGTCATACCTTTGTTACTAATATGATGCACATTTTCAGTTGTAATTATTCTTTTATTAATTTTGGATTACCTTAAGCCCAGTCGTCTATTAGTATAAGAACACTTTGTTCCTTATGATTAGTTAAACTTTTATAAAGATTTATTTTACAATTTCAAAACGTCGAAACTATTGAAGTCGGAGTTTAGATGTGTTCGTCTTGAACATCTGTTGAGAGAGAAAAAGAACATTAATCTTTATGTATGATGAAAAAGATTACAAATTTTAAAAGCACGAAGATACGTTTTCTACAAGAAATTACCTAGAAAAGAAATAGAAAATGATCTTCTAAAAGCAGTAAGTCGAGATTATATCAAGATGTACATTCATGCAAGGAAATCTCGTTACAGAGCCTATTTTAAGCTTCACGTTATGTAATACAGTTTTATTAAAAAGTATTTATTCTTTAAGATCAGATCAAAAGTACTGGTTGGTGTCATTATAGTGGTATTAAAAATATGTGATCGAAGAACAGCGTGTGCTCGAACTCGAAAGATTTTTCATCAAAACAATTAAGTTATGAAACTGTGAAGGAAATTGCAACCTTTGGTGCTCTTAGACGTATCGTAAATATTTTTTCTTTGCATAATAGTGCTATTCAGCGATAGTTTTTCTGGATCGTTGCCAGTTCATCAAGAGTTGTAAGCATAAGGGTATTTACAAGTATCCGTTTAAATAGTTAACGGTGAATGCAGTATATACTACCTATAAAACCTTTTTTATGCATGATGTCAACTTGTTTCTATATTCCATTTTTTCTTTTTAATGTGCAAAAAGTTTTTATATCAGGATTTTTATGTGCGAAAAATTTAATGCTAACTATAGATTACGGGTAGTGCATTTGAAGGGTTCATGCATTTCAATACAACACAGGGCTACACTCAACACAAACAATACTTACGATCCATTCTCAGATTTTGCCGCTTAATGATCTTTTTCTCCTCATTATTTGAATCAATTTTGAAAAAAATATAACCAATTATTTACCAATTTGTATTTAATTAAATTAAGAATATATACATTTTAATTTATTGATATAACGAGATTTGACTGCACGAATTTAAAATAAAAGTGAACGAATACAAACTAAACTTTTTAACCTATTTATACATCTACAAATACATAACATTTTACATAAATTGTTATACAAAGAATTTAACCTCTAAATATTAAATTTGTGCCAAGTAAAATGTTATAAAGTGCTTAGTTTAACATTACACTTTAAATTGATTATATTGTGTAGTCGTTGTGAAGTGTTTTCTTCGTTATTTTATAATTAAATAGGTCGTACTAATTTTGCCGTTTATAAATGAGGCATGCATCTAATTGAGTAAAAAGAGAAATTTGTGACGAGATTATAAGTGAAGGGTTATTAATTAAAGGGACAGACAAGTTACTTTTTTAAAAACTTCGTCACTGAGAAATATATTACAGTGTTGTTTTTAGCGTTTTATAACTAAAAATATGTAAAAAAAAGTAACTTGTTTTGGTATATAGCCAGGGATGTTATTCTCGGGAAAAATCTTAGACTCAAGTTTTAAACATTTAAAATGGTAACACCAAGCTGGAACACGAAGGTTGTGATTAAGTTAAAAAATTGACGAGCGTTAAACATAGATTCTCAATATTTTGGAATATAAAAATTTGTGTTAAATAAATTCAATTTGAAGCATATACTGAACTCCGTTTAAATCTTACGTTGAATCTTATTTAGAATAGGAAATTAAAGTATATATTTGTCATGCAGTAGAAAAATGAGAATAGATATATCTTATATATTGAGGATAAGTTAAAAGTAATATTAGCCTACACTTATATCGAAACTATGTCCTACCTGCTACAATCTGTACTTAATATAAGGTGTCAAGTAAAAAAGAGAGAGATTAGTGACGTAGGTAGGAAGACTTTTTTCACGGTAAGCTTTAGTTAGACAATATACATTATTAATTTCATTTGATTTCTTATAATGGAAATACAAAACGTATTAACAGGAAACGACAGACTATACATCGTATTAGGGTAATGCAACCCCCTTAATCGTAACAAATATAACCGTTCTAACTGAAGTAATTATTTGTCTCTTTTCTTGACTGTGTAAACACAATTTGGTAGATAGAGACGAAATACTACTTTACTTAAAATAGTGCAATTATAATGATTTAGTTTTTATGAATAACGGGCTAATCCCCTATAAGGGAGTCGAAGAAGTCTGTATTTTTATACAATATTAACTCTATTTATACTAACTTTAAAATAGTATTGTATAACGCCATCGAGTGTTGTTTTTAAAGACCTTTGTAATGGGAACGACAGGATTGGAGGATTTATTATGTTTTTACGATGTGACTATTTCACAAACTCTAAGCTGCTTGAACCCTAGTAATCAGTTACAGATAGCTCTCAGAGAAGTCTAGATCGGATACAGAGGCGCGGGATGAGCGTGTGTAGTTAGTGGAGGTGCCATAGTCTGAGGTGGCAGTCACCAAGTCGGCTACAATCGTACCTTGGGTTACGCCATCAGCTGCGGCCGCTTCCCGTTCAGCCAACTTCTGTTTTAAAACTCGGATACGTTCTTCTTTCTGTAAGTTAATCGTTACTTTAAAACTAATATAGCAATTCTCTGTGGGTTAATTTTTGGTTCAATATAAATTATTCACTATACAACTTAAACAGCAAAAACCTAATTAGTATTATTACGGTGTTTAACGATAGCGACAATCTGTGTCATGTTCAATTGTGTTGTTGAAATAGGTAGAAACTGAGTTGTAAGGCAATACAAACTAATTTTATGATATGAGGACTTATGTGTTTCGTCAGAGACTTTTGATATTTTTGTAGAATAGTAGTTTGTTATATCAAAGTAGAACGGGTATTAAATATTTGGTTAAACACGAAGAAATCGTGTCAAACAAAACCTTTATTATTAATAGTGAAATTGTGACATGATTTAACAAACTTATAAGATTTTAGCGTTATAATTGTTAGAAACTCAAAATAGAAGTTGCGGTTACTAGCTATCGTATGGAAGAGAAATTTGACCCACTTTACAAATAAAAATATGCAAATGAAACAGAAATTTGGGACTCTGAATGAAGCTACTCCTATTATCCTACCATACATAAATAATAGCTTAATAATTTTCAAATGAAAGAAAAGATACGCAACGCTGGGCAACTGATTCAACTTCAGTGGAAAATTCGTGGAAAGTTTTTAAATGTGAACCATTGTTTCTTCTGAAGTAATCTCGGTTCGAATGTAAAACTGGGTTGTTTTTTGTTTGATGTAGGAAGGGGAATTCAATATAATATAGAAAATAATTTACATTTTTATTTCATATATCCTAATTTACATGAATTCCTATAAAGGAAGCATTTAAAAATAATACATAAAAGCGACGCGCAATTTCTTAAATTTTAAAGGTAATAGTTTTATTGCTTGTAAAGGCTGTTAAATGTTAAAACTTCTGTAGCGTAGTAATTAGTATTATAGATTGTGACGGAAGTCGACTTTGGTGAAATTAAATAAAAAATTATAATTAAATCTTTATTTTTACTTGTCTTAATGTAAGTTATTGATCAGCATTGTATACTTTCCAAGTAGATATTATTGCGCTGGATTTTTTTTAAATTTATTAACTATTGTAGGTATATATATAACTTTAAAATAAGAAGTTTACAATAGTGTAGTGGAACATAGACTTGATGTAATTTACCCGATTTCGAACTAATTTAAAACATATATACACATATATATGACTGTTATTATACCTATATAACATAAAACATATCTATTAAGACCAATGATAAATGTATAACATTAAATTATAATTATTTGAATTACTAATTGAACCCTTTATTCGCGATGGATAACATTTTATTTTTAAAAGTAGACCTGGCCTATGTTTAAGCTTGACTATAAGGAAGTTTTTATTATGACTGTACTGAAATGATAATGAATTGTTAATGAATGTATTAAAACATATTTACAATACATGAAAATTTAAAGTCTCAATCTGACTTTACGAGTTGGACCAAGAAATTAAGGCAAGTTTACGTTTTATGTAAATGTTTATAAATAACTAAGACATTGAGGCATTTAATAACTGTCTTCGGATTCATTTTTCGTATATTAAATTAATATTAATGTCAAATATCGCGATGTGTAAAGGAAAATGGAACGAGAAAACGTTATTTCCCTCGTAACTGACTTAAATAATATTTAGCCGCGAAGGGATCACCAAATTGACAGAGAAACGGAAATTGTATTGGATTTATGTTGGGCTTGTATATTGTAAATAATATATTAACATATAATACTTGACTGTGGCCTATTGGTTCCTGGTTATATTGGTTTCATGTTATATGTATTTACATAGAAGAAAACTAAGCTGGTTCTGCCTTTAGCTCTTTAAGCAGGAGATTTCATAGGATTTCATCAATAGACAAATTTATACAAAGAGGAACGTTTATATGTATTATCATTACATAGTTTTATACAGTCTTATGTTCGCTTTTTCACACTAGATTCATCATACTAGGTTCTGGAACCTTTATTCACAAGATATTTAACCAGTTTCGGACTTAAGCGAGAACGTATTAAGCAAATTTATTAAATAAAATATTCAAAGTAATAAATAAATAGTTATTAATGCTAGTCGTAGTTTCTTGACTTTAACCGTCGTCTACTATAGAACAATCTAGAATTCGTAGAAATTACGGTTGGTCACAAAATCTGGGGCGTTCATATTTTTGTAAACCGAAACAGGTGACGACATTACTTATATGACTTTGAGCAATTATTTACAACGAATTTAAATAGCAGCAAGAACTGTCACAGCTTGTATGTGCGTGAACACGGCCGTAACAGGAATAAGACAAGCAAATTTAAACTTGTTACTAAAGATATTCAACATCCGCCACAGAACAAGACTGGCGGCCAATCTTTAATAATTGACTATGTATAGAAGAAGAGATAGTCATTTGGAACCATCAATAACGATCGAATATATTCAATGTTAATTCAATGCCTATTCAGTCTAAATAGTAATACTTGAATCATATTTTTTCTCACACACTTGCGTATTTTAATTAAAATCACGCAATAACAGCAATATTTAATTGGATTAACATGTTGGCTTTTGCCCAAAAGCGTGAAATTGTATATCATTTACCTTTTTAATCTTGCAATCAGCTCGGTTTCATTAAACAAAGTGGTTTTTCAAATTAAAAGTTTGTTTTAAAAGTTAAGTTTTATAAATTATAACAGAATTAACCTCGATGCGTTATATTATAAGACGATTTTGCTTCAGGATAAATGCAGATATATCAGACAGATATCACGAATTGCTGTGTTTGGTTCAGTATAGACTTTATAATGTGGTCCCTAACGACGCTAACATTGTGGAACTCATTAAACATATGTTCAATTGTAAAAGGATATCAGAATTCTGATGAATTAGCTCTGATTTGTTTTGTTTTTTTAAGCCTGGAAGATCAAGGCAATAGTCAGATAATATTGTAAAGAATGAATGAAACTAACAAGTGAGGAAGGAATAGATTCATGGCAGATATGATAATGGAGAAGATTCTGTTCTGTTCAACCAGTGATCATAATGATAATGGGCACTTTAGAACATATCAAATAAAAAGAAGCAAGATTAAAACGATATTTTGAAGGTTACGTTATATCTACCGTAAATGAAATTTGTTAAATATATATTGGTTAATTGATAACTCTGAAGACTTCGAGAAAATAATTTAATTATTTTATGGAATTCGGTCTGCTATAAGGTCGTTAATTGAAATCGGATTAAAAGTTTCATAAAGCTTCAAAACTCAGAAAGTTATAGCGTTCATAAATATTTCGAAGTAAGAGCTGAAGTAGGAATCGAAATTCTTACACATCCAAGAAAACTTAAAAGTTGAACATTGTTAGCTCTCGGTTAGTTTTAATTCTACTTGGAGATAGCGAAAAATGCACAAGGGTATAAAACTTAAATTGTAGCGTCTCAAGATTAAAAGTGTTCCATCCAAGATCTATTTACTTTGTGGGAACGATATCGAGAAAGGATCGTTATACATCTAATTTTAAATCGATGAACTTGGTGGTCGCTCTCAAGTCTGCATACTTTTTAAAGTTCATAGAATTATTATTGAAGTATATTATCCGCTGGATAATGTTAACTAAAATTTAAGCAACTTTGTGTAAATATCGCTATTTCTATATACCCGCTCATTAGTTTTTTTACCGTATTCATTATTATCTTGAAGATAGAGAATCTCAATAGTCCACATCATCCTTCATTAATTGAACTACCTCTGCACGATGTTTAATTATTTTATTCCATATTTAAATATTCTTTTACTAACCTGAGCGATAAGTTTCTGTAGTTCTTCATTTTCTTTCACCAGTTCCCTATAGCGTTCTTCATCAGCCGGTGCAGATCCCGACCCGGAACCGCGACTACTTTCAGCGCGGTCTGTAGGATGCCTTATTACTTCTATTACCTATAAATAGAAATATTGGATTATGGACATAGGCTGTATATGTTTTAAAGGACGGCCTCGTGTCTAGGGGGTGTGGTGTACAACAAATGAAGAAACGATGTCTTGATTGGTCATCCGCTTTTCTAGTCCAAACATAGACACCGATCCATTTGCCAAAACGGCCAATCACTATCAAGATACATACTCTCTACGACGCAATCTAACTTAGCGTAAATTAAAGACTGAGCTCTGAGGATGTTGAAAAATACTAAAAAATAACATTTTTTCTTTGTTTTTATTCCGGTATCCACGCATATGACAGTTGGAATATTTACATGCCTTAGGGTCTGTTTCACAATAAATTATTAAGAAGATAAATTGTGCTATTTGACATTCATCGGACTCATATCTTATGATGGACTTTATGTGACGAATAGCGCTATCTGACAGTCGTGAAACGCAACAATAGTGTTTATCCTACCAATAAGTAATAAATAGCTAATTTGGAACTTATGTATAACTTAACCGTACATTGTGATACAGACCCTTACTCTACTATTTCTATGTTATATCAATAATCAGAATCAAAATCTAATTTTGCTTTAATCTAGATATTATTGGTACTTCAATTCTAAAAGATAATATAAAAATACTGTGTGATTTTACAGAAATATTATTTTCTATTTTCAGCGCTCGGTGAGATTGGATATGTAGGTTTATGACTTAAATAAACAATGCAAAGAGCTTTTATGTGGTGCAACATCATCATTGCAGAATCGATACTAATTTGATGGACTAGCGCAAAGAAGATTCTGAATAACCACTCGGGTCTTACAGATTACATCTGAATTTTTCATAACAATAGAATTTTATTTATGTCACTATATAATATATATGTATAACTAGTAGAAATGAACTAAGCTATCGCGGAATATGCTTAAAAGGAGTATTAAGAATATGCATAGCTCTAAATAACCTGCATCATGAGCACAACCCACATACCCACCCTCAGATACATACCCTCACTTTCACACGATCACATAACACAACTTTATTAGGTATTAATTAATTAAATGTATTTAATATTTTTATTCATATTATTATACCTTTCGAAAATGTTTGAACCTTTTTATATATATTATGTTACTTGTTTTATAATATTTGGATAGGATTGTAATTTACATCTTGGTACTAAAGTTATAGGTAATATAAATAATAAATTATTTGCTTTTTGTTAGAATAATAATTTTTTTCCCAACTTAACAAAAAAAGACATAGTTGAAAAGGCATTGGAGCACTGGTTTCCAACCAGGGGAAAAACCTGGTATGGTGAAAACCCCCTCCCCCCCCCCACCAATAAAAATATAAACTGTAATTTGACATTTAATGAACTTGGGAAACAAATTAACGTTTAATTAAAGAGAGATAACATAAGTCAATAAATAAATTAGTACAAAATAGACTTAATAGTGTGTGTATTCATTTGTGTATTTAGGGTATAACTGGAGTTTTCAAAATGAATATGTATGTGTCTATTGTGAGTTTTTGTTTTTTTTTGGGGTTTTTTTTTTTTTTTGGGGGGGGGGGGGGGGTGGGGGGACCTACCTGTTATTGAAAAAAACATACCTGCAGGTTTTCCGCTTGTCATGCAATATAAAAATTTATAACTATTTGCTTTACAATTTTTAAGGATAAATATTTTAGAGTTTTGTTAAGTTTATTGTACAATGTTGTCTCTCCCAGTCATCTGCACGAAAAAAACCCCCCACCTCCCTCCCCGAAACTATCTCTAAGTCTTCGTTTGTGTTATAAAGAAACATAAAGGCGATACCTAGCATAAGATACATATCAACTTCTACAACATATTATAAAGGTAAGAAAGAGTATATACGTAGAAAAATAAAGTTTTACAAAATCATTCCTGAATTTATATTGATTGCAATTATTATTATGAATGTATAAATATCGTTATTGTAATTAATTAAACCAACTGTTTTCAACATTATATGCATCAAAATAAAGAAAAACGCCATATTAATTATTAAAGAACTTTCCTTTGAGTTTTCAATAAGTGTAATTAATGAAGTTTCAAATAAAAGCGATCAATCTTAATTATTAAACAATAGTCGCTAAGCTTTAAATAATTTGGGCCTTGTTATTTAGTCATTACTGGTGGTGACTGGTGACGTTAAAATTACTTCCTTACAGCCTGAATGGAAGAAAACGATTTTTAAATTCATTTTTGATTACGCTTTTAACATTTATAGCTTCGATAATAATAAAAACTTTATTCATGACAGAAATATCGTTGTCACAAAATTCATCTATCGCTTGTCCCCACGCTAGGAAACCCCTGTCTGGATTACTTTATTTTACAATTATTCCATATGGTACATGGGGCAAGATAAGATTAAATTTGCGCTAATAATAAATGTTTTTAATGCTCAGATAGCTATAATTTGGCAGTTTACAATTTAGTTTATTTGTTATGTAGGTTAAACCACCCACTCCGTTTCTATCTCCAGTACAGCTAATAATATTGTTTTTATCTACCAAGAAATAGTACGTTAAATTAAAAGCAAGTGTGAAGTGTGACACGTGACTTAAGGGCGCATCACGTCAAGGGTTACTTCAGTCTAAATTAGTTTACAACGTAAAATGAAAGTTATCCTACAAAACCTATTTTGTAACAATCAGGATTGAAAATTTGTGACCCTGTCCAGGCGTCGTGGACCTTACATCGGACCTTGACCCGTCTATGCGTCACGTCACTTCATAGATTTTAAAATGACATGAGTTCTGACGATGGTGGTTCTATAGACAGTCACTCATAAAGCCGAGGTTGTAAGGACTGAATTGTAATGTAGAGGGAGGGTAAAACCTCCTGAGTTATTTGCGTGTTCTTCTCAGAACAAGGCCTCCTGGTAGTTTTGCGAACGGATGGCGTAGTCTTGCTCTTTGTCGAATTTTGTAAAGGTTTTTGATATTCATAAGCATGCCCTAAGACGCATCTAAACTGAATAAACGTATTTTGATTTGATTTGAAAATTTTCCCAAAGAACCTACCAAAGTTATTTCTATATTTTGTGGCAAATTAACCGTTGGTGAGATATAAACCAAACAAATTGTAACCAAGGAATTGCCGTTAAAGCTTGATTAGTCTCATTGTGAGACAAAATGTGTGAAGTGAGTGGAAACACGTTATCTTAAAGCTAACATCTTGTGAAACGGAGCAGAACAAAGCTTTTTCGATACGATTAACAAAACGATGTGTTCCATTTACGATACGCATTGGGGAGCGTTGTGCTCAAGTTTATTTCGGTATATTTTTGAAGTTATACTTCTTTAGGCGCGTTATGAAAAATTTATGAGAGTGAAATTTTACGATGCGCGCGCACCGTGACACAAAATTATCAGTATGGGCGCCGAGCGTGCGCGAGCGAGATGGGAATAAGACAATCTACAAGTAAAAAGAAATAGAATATGCGTGACGTTAGCAGCTATGTCAAGAATTTTGAATGACCATAATGACATTTGTAGTACCTTTTAAACAAATAAAGGAGTTTTAATTATTTTTTCAAAGAAATTTAGTAATGCTTTTTCACAAAGACTTATTGTTACTTAGTTAAAAGGTTATGAAACCTACCTAGTTATTAAATTGAATTAATAATATAATAAAATAATAAATAATAATTATTATTAATATTAATTAATAATTGAATAATATACTAAATATTAAATATTGTTGAATTATTAACGCTAAATATTTATTATTTAAAAAAAATAAAGAAAGCCAAAGAAGTATAACTTCTTTCGCGCGTACATAAGTACACGCACCATTTTTTTTTTAGAATTGACTTTGGTTGTCCTTTAAATATTCAAGCCGAAGCCGAGGCTAAGCAAGTGCTACTTAGACCAAGGGCGCCTCGTGAAGTGTGACTCCTTCAACTCTTGCTGTTATGGTATTAACTCTAGGGGTAAGATTCCTAGTTGATTACTAGCGGGAATTACGACTCTTCCAGGTGGAATACAAAGGTTTGTATGTTAAAATTAAACATGCGCTTGACATTCGGAAATCAATCTTAATGCTCTGTTTCGACTCTATTGAATATTACCCTAAATAGACGGATACACACCAGCAAGGTGTGTCACACTATTATATAATATTTCAGATAAATATCATCTATAAATATAGTACCTACACGGATAAACGGCGATAATTTACTCAATCACTTTATAGAAAATGTAAAATCTTGTTTCCCTTTATGTATTCTTTATATTTCCATTTTAAAGCAATCTATTTTTAAATAAATGCAATGAAAATGTTTTGTCGAGACGGACTTGAAATTGCGAAACCTTTTATAAAATTACAATTATAATTTCGGAAGTCCATATTATAAATTGAACCGTTAACAAAGCCAGCTAATTAAGTTATTAAGAGAATAATTAATATGGACACAAATTGTATCTGATTACATTGAACGAAGTTTGCGTTTCATTGAACACAAAAAATTACCGATGAAAAGCGAATAAAGTTTATTCGGATTTTTCGTAGCGTAACTTTTTCAAACTCAGTGCCGGTTTGGTTAAATTATTCCTATTTTTATGAAATCCAGCGCTCTAGGATTATTGTAAATATTGTAGCAGCTAAACGCTATTGTTCTGAATACGGCCAAGTATTTTAGTTTACGTATGGCATAAAATACAATAGGAATAGTTTTGAAATTGTTTTGGAGGCAGCGGCAGGATGGTTACTTAGTTTACTGCAATATTATTAGGAACTAGTCGATGCTCAAGTTTGACTGATAACCGGATTCTATATCTATAAGACTAATTATTGTTATGAGTAGTATACTTTATAGCCGTGGTTTATGATCTCTGAGAACGAATACATTTAGATATCTAAAAACTACTTTCACTAATATCCTATTCGATACCGTAACTCAACTAGCTAATTAAACACGCAAAGAGGACTTTAAAACTGACTATTGAGAAGAATTATTTGTAATGAATATTAAACCATCATATAGGATTTTTTATAGGCTTAGATATATTAATTTTGCAAAATAAGAAATTGCACATTAGAGTGAACACATTTGCGTAAAATTTTTCGTGCTAATAACGTTACCCAATTTAGTTATTTGCATTGTAATACATTGGGGATAAGACCGGTTTGTTTGTTATTTAGATATGTGGTCGAAATTATTAAGTAAAATTTTCTGATTATTGCCCAGTACCATGGAATATAATTATATGGATGTTGAATATTAAATTGTAATAAGTTCTTGAACAGCAACAGAATTGTAGCAACCTAAATATTTTTTTATAAACAGAGCACATTCTATTGACTTATGAAAAAAAAAACGTGTGTGTACTTACAAGTGTTACACGCGTTAGAAGTTATACTTATTTGGCGTAGCAAGATAAAAATCATTTCAAAAAATTTATTCTACGTTTGTAGAAAAAACGACACTAACAATAAAAAAACTAAAATGTTGACTATAGCAAACTTTAGGGCGTCAATTTTATGTGACGATTTGCGCGCGAATCGTAAAAATTTACTCTCATCATTTTGCCCTAACGCGCCAAAAGAAGTATAACTTCAAAAAGTCTGAAAACGAAATTATACAAAAATGTTTATTCTGATTATATTGAAGAGTTAAGATTACTGCCATTTATATTTTATCGGCTTCATTCCCTATATGTGTAATATAGTTGATGAAATATGCTGAGAATAATTATAAAAAATAGGAATAGGAATAGAGATTTTGTTTATATTTTACTGTTGTCTGTGGTTTGTAATGCCTACATTAAATGGAAATCTGTTTTATAGACAAAATAGGAAAAAATAAAACAATTCAGATAGGACAGACATACTTCTGTATTTTTATTCATTCATTCATTCCTAGTATGGTTCGCCATTGTTCCCCGAAACAATTATTGTATTGCCATGAATAGAGCCAAGGCAGTAGAAAATTATGAATATGTAAAATAAATTTTACCGTCTAAAACGTACCTTGGGTATAAAAATAAGCGCCATACTGAGGAAGCAGCAAAAAACAATCGCGAGGGAGACGAAAGCGAAGGCTGCGTCCTGTTGGCTTGCTATCACCAAAGTGACTGGTGCGGTGATGAGGCAAAGTACCACCACATTGTAGATACTCATGCCCACATATCGGGAATCGTTGATGGACCGCACTTTGACTGAACGTGTCTCATATGCTAGGAACAACCCGAACACAAGCACGAGACCTTTGTACCCGTACATTACACCTGTAAAAAAAATTGAAAGACAGTTATTAATATTAACCTGGAAAAGTGGACGAGGGAAATTGTATCGTATATGTATTGATCTGGATATTTCTATCTGAGTAAAGAAAGATTTAACATCAGAACTTAACTCATAAAGTTCTTGTGTTCTTTTTTGTATAGAAGAGAATATTACATATAGATAGTATATATATGCATTGTGTTTGTGCAAGCCCTACTTATGGACGCCACACACAGATAGATTACGCTACTTCTTTATTTTCTTCTTAAGTGGGGCCTTGTTGTAATAATTAATTTTTGTAAATAATTAAACCTAAACCTATTTGGTAGTTACGGATTAAAGTTGTATAGAATAACTTAATTCCTAAATGTTCAAACATTATTACTTTAATCTAGTCGGTTTTATTGAAATCAGAAGTTATACCTTGACACTGTTTTAACGTAATAATCTGTTTACCAATGATTGTCATCGTATAGGTTTTGTAATTTTCAACATTTTACATATATTAGACTCTATGTAACGGTGAGAACAAATGTTTGGCACTGTTTAGAATATGTATTTTTAAAGTTTCATACTGTTATGAACAGTGCTTCGTAAAAACTTGCAAGTACCAAAACCGAGTCACGATGGCGATTCGATATTCAAATTTTCGTAATGTAATAACAACAGATAACAGCTGATAACTAGATAATGTTTTTCCTAGTTATAGTTTGTAATCGCTTTGTAATCAACGAAACGAATTATCGATAACGCTAAGTATTCGAAAACGATTGATGTTTGTGGCAAGCCCTCTAGCGTGACGTGTGTAATTAACCATCATTTGATTAAAGAGGCCTTGCTATCTTTGCTGCTAATTAAACAGAGATGATGTGTGTAGTTTGAACCCGAGTAGTGAATACTATTAAAGTTTTCATTAACTATCTATTCTAGTAGTAGTACATATTCTACATGTTTTGTTAAAGTTGATTTTCATAGTTTATCATAGCTATAGCGTGTCCAACCTCACTTTATACTATAAAGTAATATAGATGTGGGTAGAAACAACCTGAGTAGGTCATACACAAGGAGTGTTTGACTCCTGCTATTCGTCTCAATAGTGTGTACTGTACGATATAAAAGACAAAAAATAAAATAATAATAATAATTTCTTATGTTTTATTGTTTATGTATAATTCACTTTAATGGCACGAATAAGTACCTACAATTTTTCCAGCGGTCCGCATATACGCAAAAAATCTAACTTAGAAAGTAATTTCCTTCATTAAGTACTGGGTCTCGAATGAGTTCGCGAGACTTTATCTGAGACTTATTTATATTTTCACCGTGATAAAGATATTACACGGCACTAAACTTGCTTCTACCCAATTAGCTGAACTTCGTAAGCGAATTACTTTTTAACTATTAACTAAGTTTGTATTTAGCGTATTTTTATACGATAGGACAAAGGTATAGTTTTAAAACTAATGTTGATCATGGCCCCGCCCATGATCGCCGATTCACTTCCCGCACAGATAGAATGGCGAACGCTGGCGCATTTTGTTTGATTGTAATTGGTCAACAGTATCTCTAGACCAATCACAGACTTGCGATACGATACGTCATACCGTTTGACCAATGACAATCAAACAAACCATCACCTCGTCTTTCGTTTTACATTCTTACTGACGAATTAGATTTATTTACAACCTTTAGCACGGACGTGCTGAGCCTACACCATATACATACCACGTACATTGGCAAATTAATTTTAATTCTACTTTAACTAAATTGAAAGATACAGATATATATCAGAATAAAATAATGTATTTGTTTATATTAGCATAATCAAAGTAAATATCATTTAATTATCATGTTAAGGTCAATGGATATTTGTTAATAATGAAGAACACTGTTAATTAAAAAATCAATGAGATAATTTAGCTATTTGACTAGTTTCATCACACACGCACTATTTACCATGACAACCTAGTGTTTTGATTTGAAGATTTTGCTTTACGTTTTCTGTTGATTATTTTGGAATAAAACACAGCATTTTAAAAATAACTTTTGTTCCATTAACACATTTCGAGAGAAAAATACGAAAAGATTTTTCGCAAGAGGATGTGGTCATTCAATTTCCTTTAAGCTATATTTTGGTTTTCATCCTTTGAAGCTTTCGTGACTGTAAAAATAATATGAGAGTCTCTCAAGTGAATCTCGTGAGTTCGTTATAAATTTAGAAATATTTTTAGAATTTTAAAAAATCAGTATTACATGTTTATCTGTAACAATCAGCAAAGGCACCTTAAAGAAACATCAGTGCCATAAAAATAACCATGAAAACAAAACATGGTTTATTATTTTTTAAACTGTAATGAATGAAGAAAATAATGAAGTTATATTGTGTTTAATTTTTTTAAGCAAAACCGACCAAATGAGCGTGCAAGTGGAGAAATTGAGTCCACACTACTACAACTGTGTTTATTCTTAAGCTACTAACGAATTAATAATATAATATAGAAAAACACTTTTTTTAACGGATTTGAAGTTATGTTTTATTATAAATTTACAATTATTTTACATAATTTTAAATTAAACCGACGTTTCGCGTGTATTTTAGTCGATACCAACTCCGGGGAAATAAATACAGATAACACAACTTTTTCTACAGCTGTGATACTTTTTGACATTCAACACCTTTTGTCTTCAGTCACCGTGACAGCGCACGCTGTAAAGCACGCGAAACGTCGGTTAAATTTAAAATTATGTAAAATAATTGTAAATTTATAATAAAACATAACTTCAAATCCGTTAAAAAAGTGTTTTTCTATGTCTAAAAGTTATGTCAATAAAATACAATACAATAATATAATATTTCGATAATAAAACTATTTTTATTTAAAACTTTTAACTTCATATTCAGTTTACTGAAAAATGAACTGTATTAACCACTAACTCTTCATCCCAGTAAGGCAATTATTCGACATTCAACGTTGTAAAACGACATACGATGTTTCATCCCATTTGTAAGCTGGAAAGCTACTGACGCTATTTATAGTTATAGCTATTGTGTTTAAAATTCATATTAAACCGTTGAATATTATGGACTTTAGTGAACTATGGCAGGCTTTAGGCCTGGTAATTGCAATGCTCAGTTCGATTCCAATAATTAATAGTTTCATGAATAAATCATGTAAATTGTAAGCAAATGCATTGAAACTTACGAAAGCGTGAATAATTTATTGGTTAAGTGCTTACGCGTTGAATTGTATTGTATTATCTTAATTTTAAAAAAAAATATGTTTTTTGAGGTGTCCATAGTCATGTACTTTATCTTAAGATTGTGATAGGTAGGTGTTCTTTATTTATTTAGACATATTTGGGGACCGACAAATGTGATCCAAGCGAATTCGTTTCAAACGTTGTCTATTTCTAATGTATTGAAGGCGATATAAAGTGTAAAAAAGCGCACGAAATGATCGAATATACTAATAGGAATTTGAATGTCTTTTTTTATATAGAACTGGACAGACGTTTGGCCACATTCCCACCAGATAGTAAGTAAAAGTGCTATTTAGCCGCCCCTTAAATGAACCCATATTAAACCGTCTAGGGAAGATGGAAGGGGGCAAGGGTTTCCAATCCTATGCTGTATTTAGAAGAAATGACGATCAGAATCTACTTGGGGATGTCGGAACGGACGGAATCAGGTTATGTAGTTCCATTCAGCATTCTCTAGACTGACAGACTGAGCAATCTATAGAAGACTTAAAGGCAATGTGAACAATGATTGAATGAATAATGATGAAAAATAAACTGAACGAATGGTCAAGACTTAAGAATTGAGATTCAACGAGTGAATTGGCCCAGAGATTACTGCAGTACTTCACACGCGAACTGACTTCAGCTTGATAAAGAGTAAGAAGCTGTTCTGGTGTTAAGAAATGTCGGACTTTTGCCAAAATACTTTACTTTTTGCTTGCCACCTGGGCCTTAGAGTGTATAAAACGCCCAAAGCAGAGATTGTGAGACAGGGCAACGCCAAGCAACTCCGTCGGAGTTTTCGACAGTCAGCTATTTCCAAAGTAACATTTCGGAAGGTTGGACTGAATCCAAAAGAACTCTTTTTACAACTCATAAGACAGGCCTAGGTTTTATTTGTCTTAAATTGAACTAGATTCACATCACTCCAATCCGAAACCTTCTTTAAGGTCTAATTTAGACGTTCAACTATATAAATAGACATAATAATATAAAAAATTCAATATTTAATTTACATAAAATATGCGTTGGCATAAATAAGGTGTTTCAGATTATGATAATACAGATAACTTCACAAACAGCTCTTTGAAATAAAAGTTGAAATATACGACTTAGTATAATCTTGCTTTGAAAAGGCTGCGGAAGTTCGTAGCCTCGTAGCTGCGGTAGGAATAAAACGCATGTACAATATATATATGCGATAATCTAATGAGTCCAAATTGTTTTAAAAGTTATGTACTGGAGAGCATTCTAGATATTTCATTGATGAATGAGTTAAGGAATATTTTATCTCGTTCATTAACTTACACTTAATTGAGGATTCATATCAGAATAAACATTTCAAACCTATTTTCGAACGTGTAGAACCTAAGCAATTTTTGTTTTATCAGAAACAAGGATATTTTAATTTCTACTTTTCGTCATCTTATGATGAAAGTTACTGTAAGTTTAGTTTCTGTTTTTAAATATATTAGGGCTGTCAAACGTTCCTTAAAAAATATGTAAGACCGGCTCTATGCCCACTTTGGTAATCAAGGGGTATCAAAAGCCATAGGATTCCTGTTAAATTATGTACACTCACCAAGCCAGACGGCATTATGTTCGCTCTCGCAATGCTCCAGCTCGGGTCGTATGTGAACATCGTCATCATTATGGTATGGTGCTTCAAGTGGAAATATTTCCACCCGCCGCTGCAGGGGGTCCCGTATCTGCCACGCGGTTAGTATTGCGACGTCCACTATTAGGAGACCCCCGACCATTGTGTATAATTTCCAACCGTGCATACGTTTCTGAAAGGGAAGTATTATAAAGACTTGAATATTTCGATCTTGATATTCCTAGAACCGATTTCTCTTCGTATTATACCAAAATACTCCTTAACATAGCATGAATTATAAAAATATAATAGATTGAAATATGAAAATATATTCAAGCTTAGTTACAAAATATATCTATCGCCAAATTATGTTCAAAAAGAGGGAAAAGAGTTCTCATTCTCTCTTTAAAAATATGCTTTTACGTGTACCCTTTTCTTAAAACCAAAATATTTTTTAAATAAATGATTGTTTGAAATAAACGGCAAATCTTATAGCGTTATAAATATTTCGGTCTAATTAAAACCGTTTAAATGGGTCATGTCATTTAAATAGTACGTATAGAATATTTCAAGAAACGATTCTATTTGTGGCCGCGGTTTAAATAAATAATGAGCTGGTTTTGTCATGCAAAGGTGAATATTTTAGTTTGAATTGGGGAAATAGTTTGAAATAGAGTGAATTCGACGTCACTTTTTTGAGTCATTGATATCCAGACATTATAACGATAGTTAATAACTTTGTATTTATGTCAGGACAGCATACTATATTTTTCAAGTTTTCGTAGAAGTACTTTTTCTGTTATTTACATATTATATTATCATTTTACAAAGAGCAGTGTTGGCTTAGCTTGAGCGTGTGTCACTCATCCATAAGGTCGTAGGTTCAAACCCCGGCTGTGCACAAATGGACTTTTCTATGTGCGCATTTAAAACTCGCTTGTACGGTGAAAAAAATCCTTAGCGAGTAACAGTAGACGGCGTATGTCGAGCACAGATGGCTGATCACCTACTTGCCTATTGCCAAAAGCAAATAATCGCGAAACAGATATAGAAATCTGAGGGCAAGACCAAGGGTTGTATCGCACTGTTTTTTTCTACTAAGGTCCTATTTTCTCCTTCTAGTTAAGAAATATATTTTTTTTATTCAAGTCAGAACTACGCATCGGACGCCAGCGTGTTCCTTGGGTTTGAATCCGACCTTATTGTTCTAGTTGAAAGATATACATACAACAACAACGCAGGAATATCTCCGAAATTCCCAACTTGGGATATCAAACACTGTACAGATTAATTATTCGCAAATAAATGTTCTACATTTAAAAATACTATATAAACAGTGAATTATCGCATTATATCTTTCATTTTTAAACCCAGGCTAAAGATACTCCTTGTACTAGGTACAAAATAATCCCCTTTTACAAAACCCATACATTACTAATCCTGCTTTACAATAGGTTAAGCTTAAAATATATTTCCTAAGTAATCCGTTCTTATCGCAAAACAGTATATCGTATATATTCTATCGGATATTGTCTTGATTTACGCAGAGTCAGGATCGTAGTCTAGGGTCCTATGGAGTTATTATAACTAGATTATAAAAACATTTCACTAACTGTAATATTTAGAAGTTTTAAAACCATATAATATGCACTCCAAACGCTAGAAAGCTCGCGAATATTGGCCATTTGATAATTGGTAACCTGTTCTTCGAATTATAAAAAATACAATTTCCCCGTTTTCATTATGTTGCTGTTACGAGTATATGCGGACCGATTAAGTCTGACCACTTCGTATGTGCTATTATTATGTATTACACTGTAATATTATTGAAATATATACAATAGCGTAAAACCTAAAAACAAATGATTATTTAAATTTTAATAAACTTAAGCCAAGCTTTTTGTTATTTATAAAATATCTATATATTCCATAGAAACATATTTTTGTATTACATATTTTAGCGTAATGGTGATGGGTAATAATTTTCAAAATTTTACTGTTGTTCCGACCCTGTGCGACGATCGAACCGCGACTTGAATTTATTCCCCTCGTTTATCGCAACAAACGAAGCATTCTCGACACAAAAGAAAAATACGTTTCACATGTTAATCTAAGGTAAAATGAAAAATCTTTAGATTTAGAAATAGAATCGTGTTCTCAAGAAATGTAAATTATATCAAAACAATAGAAAACTTCTATTGTACTTAAATATGTTTTAAAAACAAATTTGAATCACATCTTGTAAAATATATTAATTATAATTATTCTTTTAACAATACCTTTAAAATGTAAAG